TAACCTTGAACATGGTACAGTGCTTTTAGTCTTCTTTCATCAAAGAGCATGAGTTCTTCAAATCTGCTCTGCTGCCAATTTGTTTCGGCTATCTGACACTCAGCCAGTACTCGTAATGACGGAACCTCAATTTCGATAGGTAGAATGGCCTCCATCCCATAAACTAACGAATACGGAGCTGCTCTAGTAGATGTTCTAATTGATGTCCGGTAGCCCCACAGAGCAAATGGCAGCTTATCTGGCCAGTCCCGGTAGGTTTCCACCATCTTCTATAAAATACGCTTGATGTTCTTGTTGGCGGCCTCAACTGCTCCATTGGTCTGCGGCCAATATGTAGATGACTTGTGAAAAGCCACGTTGTATTTCTCCAACAAGTCAATCACTTCTTTCTTGAAGTGGGAACCATTATCTGAGACAATCTCGTTCGGGACGCCATAGCGACAGATGATGCTGTTCCTGATAAACTTTGCAATGTGCAACGCTTTCAACACCGCATAAGATTGGGCCTCAACCCACTTTGTGAAATAGTGTACCGCAACCAGAATGAACTTATGCCCATTGGACCCTTTTGGAGTGACAGCCCCGATCACATCGATTCCCCAAACTGAAAATGGCCATGGCGAAGTCATATTGTATAGCTTCGACGGCGGGATATTCATACGGTTTGCATGGATCTGACATTTGTGGCATCACTGAACAAAGCCAATATAATCCTCCTCCATGGTGGACCAGTAGTAACCCCGTCTGAGGATCTTTCGGGCCAGCATTACCCCGTTCACGTGCGCTCCGCATTCTCCTCCATGGATGGCCTCCATTAGGCGCTTTGACTTTTCAGCCTCAACGTACAACTTATGCATTCCCAGATGACCTCTCTTATATAGTTTTCCACCGCAGATGATGAATTGAGCAACCATTCTTCTGATTGCCCTTTTATCCTTGGCATTTGCCCCTGGCGAATACGCTTCTTTCTCCAAGAAGTTCCAGACATCGTAATACCAGGGGTTCTCATCTTGAACCTCTTCTATGGCGGCAATTGACTCGTAGGCCGATGCAAACTTCTAGTCGATAATGATCGGACGCATCCAGACTCCAAAAGGGATGTCTATCATGGAAGATAGAGTTGCTAGTGAATCAGCGAACCTGTTATTTTCTCTTAGCAGATGAGCAAAGTTTAGTTTCTTAAACCGAGGAATTAACAAGTCCAAGGTCTGGTGATACATTATCATCTTTTCTTCTTTAACTTTCCAATCTCCCTTAGCTTGGGATACAACAAGGTTCGAGTCCCCAATGACATCCAACCATTTTGCCCCTAGTTCCAAGGCTACTTCTAAACTAGCAATGCATACTTCATATTCTGCTTCGTTGTTCGAGACTTTGAACCAGAGTTTGAAGGCTAGAGGAATACGGGAATTGTCGGGTGTTATCAGCAACACCCCTATCCCATACCCATATTGGTTTGACGCTCCGTCAAAGTACATCGTCCAAGTTTCCTCTTTGATATGCAAAATGGCCTCATCTGGGAATAAGTACTCAACTACGTCACCTCCTTCCACTGGATGATCGGCTAAGAACTCCGCTACCAGCTCTTCCTTTGACTGACTTGTGCGTCACATATTTCAGATCGAATTCGGAAAGCAAAAGCAACCAGCGAGCTAGCCTACCCGTAAGCACCGGTTTCTCGAAGAGATATTTGATGGGATCTAATCTTGAAACCAACATTACAGAGTGAGCTAACAGGTAGTGCCGCAGCTTCCTGACAGCCCATACCAAGGCTAAGCAAGCCTTTTCCAATGGTGTGTAGCGGGTTTCATACTCCAACATCTTCTTGCTCAGATAGTAGATAGCCCTCTCCACCTTGTCCTTAGACTCTTGTGCGGGCATGCAGCCTATTGTAGTCTCAGTCACTGAAAGATACAAAATCAACGGTTTCCCCAGCTCGGGCGGTGACAACACGGGTGGGTTCTGTAAGTATTCATTGATCTGTTCAAAAGCAGCTTGGCATCGGCCGTCCCATTGGAACTTCTTTCCTTTCTTCAGGAGACCAAAAAGTGGTTCACAAGTCAAGGTTAATTTTGAGATAAATCGTCTTATGAATTGCACTTTACCCAGAAAGCCTCGCACCTCCTTTTCAGTCCTTGGTGGTGGCATTTCTAAGATGGCCTTGATTTTTGAAAGGTCTTCTTTGATACCTCTCTGTGTAATCAGAAACCCCAACATTTTCCCTGCTGTGACAGTGAACGTACACTTCTGAGGATTCAGCCGTAACCGAAATTCTCTGATCCTTTGGAAGAACTTTTGCAAGACGGTGTAGTGGCCCTCTCTTTCTTTGGACTTGACAATCATGTCGTCCACATACACCTCAACCTCTTTGTGGATCATGTCGTGCAATATTGTGGTCGTGGCCCGTTGATATGTAGCTCTAGCGTTCTTCAAACCAAATGGTATTACCCTGTAACAATAAGTCCCCCACGGAGTGGTGAAAGCAGTCTTCTCCCGGCCTTCAGGTGCTATCACTATCTTATTATAGCCCGAGAATCCATCCATGAATGAAAGCAAAGCATGCCCCGCTGTGAAGTCCACTAACTCATCAATATGCGGCAAGGAAAGTCGCCCTTTGGACTGGCTCTGTTCAAATCCCTGAAATTCACGCATACCCGGATCCTGCCATTCTTCTTCGGCACCAGGACAATGTTGGCCAACCAAGTTGGGTATTCGGATACCAATAGGAACCCTGCGCCAATTTTCTTGGTGACCTCTTCTTTAATCTTGAGAGCCCAGTTGGGGCAGATCCTTTTGAGTTTCTGTTTAACGGGTCGGGCCTTTGGGTCAAGAGGGATCCGGTGCTGTAAAATCTCAGGATCGATTCCAGGCATGTCTTTGTAGGACCACGCAAAAACATCTTTGGAATCTTTTAATAAAGCGACTAAGCGCTCGCGTTCCTCTGAAGACAACGTGGACCTGATCTGGACCAGCCGCGGGTCCACCTCAGTACCAACATTAACAGTAGTGATTTCATCAACTAAAGGTTTAACTAATCTCTCCTGCTCTTGATCAATTAGACATTATAAAACTAGAGGAATTTTTTCCTCGTCGTTTTCATCAAAATTTTGAAAGTCCTGATTAATACAATAAATCAAAGGCAGAGAAAAGTACTCAGAAACCATAGCTATTCCATTCTCATTAAGCATTTCCAAATCGTCTGATTCTTCTGTTACAACATACTCAAAAGAGAAAGAAAAAGACGACCTAGATAGGACTGTGGCATCCGGGTTATCACCCCCAGGAATACCGGACTCATACTCAGACGAGCTGGAACCTGATTCCAACTCAACAGATTTGGTGGAATCAGATTCCGGCTCACTACCTGACCTGGTGCTGCTTGACAAAAATCCCTCTTCGTACTGCCAGATGAGAGAGGGTGCAATGGATGCATCCAAAATGTTTGATGGTGGGCTCGCAGCCGTTCCATTCCCGATCATGGACACCGAGAAGTTATCCCCCAAGCACTTCTGTTCGATCGGAGGATCTGAAAGTAGACAAGCCAGCGCTACCCCCATTTCAATTTCAGCGCTCTCAGAATCCACATTTTTACACTGCTCAACCTTAGCTGATGGGTCTGTCTGCTCCTCGGCAACATCATCCCTGGATAACTGCAGGTCGAAGAAGATCTCAAAACCTGGCATGCGCTTCATCTCCGCATTCAACCATGGCTCTGGGAAGCCGCAGAACGAAAAATCCTCCCCCTCCCGGACGAAGCGTCCGTTTAGGGTACCCTGAATGGGTCGGTGCATTGACTCATATGGCTTCCCTGCCTTCTTCGCTCTAGCTCTCCTAGCCATCTCCTTAACTTTCCTTACCCAATCCTCTTTGGTGGGTAGATAACCCAAGCCAAAGGTATGTGGGTTGTGCAGCACTTCGGCCGATACTGCACTGTCCTTTTGGCCGCTCTTTCCTAATCCCATCCCAGGGATGTGTTGAAGCTTGTTCATGAGGTATATTGATTGTGCGTTGACATACACCCCTTCATCAACAGCCAAGATGTTTTGCACAACTAGAACCTCAGCCAGAGTAAACCCCGATAAGAACACATCCTCTGTGTCGTGCTCGATTTCCAAGACTGGTGTAGACACCTCCTGCGGCGGATGGATTGATGAGTGTCCAAAAACTATAGCTACCCCCTTCCCGTGAGGGTATTTCAACATCTGGTGCAAGGTGGAAGAAACTGCCTTTACCTGGTGCAACCACGGTCGCCCCAAAAGTAGATTAAAGGTTGCAGGAATGTCCAAGACATGGAAATCGATCTCGTGTTATCCTACACCAACCTAGGTCTGAATTTTGACAGTCCCCATCACCTCCCTGCTTGTGTTATCATACGCTCGAATCACCTGGGCAGTTGGCACGAAGTTCGCGGGCTTCAACCCAATTGCATATGTCGTCCTCGATGGGCACACATTAATGGCATATCCGGTGTCGACAAGAACCACTGGTACCCACTTGCCCCTACTTTCCACAGAGATGTAGAGAGGTTTGTTGTGATCTGCGCCCTCAGGCTGTAGTTCTTTATCAGAAAAGGTCAACGTCGGGGAACCTCCTCCCGGAAAAACCAATCCAACTAGCTGCTCTGGCGTGGTGTCTATTGAGAGTTTGGCCTTGTCCATGGCTGAAAGGACGGCCTGTCTATGTACTCGAGAAGCCATAAGCAGTCCCCAGATGGAGATGTCTGCTTGTATCTTTTTCAACTGTTTCAACACAGCCTCTTCTTCGAGTTGCTTCTCTTTCTGTTTCTCTGCCTCTTTGTCCTTCCCGGACGCCTCTGGCTGATCTAGGCGTGGGGGTTTGAAATACCACTCACTCCTGGTCATATGGTCAACTTCACCAATGTACTAGGTATCATCCGGTTGATTGCTTTCCCAGTCCTCATCCGTGTGGGCAAGACATAGATCATCGTCCTTCCACCATATTTCATCGGCAGCCAACAGACACATGTCCAGCTCCGTTACCACTGTCCTTGTAATCACGGTACCTTCTGTCCATGTGTTCGCAGCACTCTCTGTTCTTGTGTACACAGCACTCTCAGTTCCCACAGGGGCCTTGGCTTTTCTGGCTCTTTCAGAGTCTTCAATTCCTTCCCGTTCTAGCTGTGTCAGTGCAGTCTGTTGTTCAACATCTCTTATATTCAAAATGCCCAGATCCCGAGCGAAATTCTCGGCACCGGCGCTCTCCGCCGATGTATTCTGATCCCCGGCCCTTCCGGCCACAATTGATGTCCTTGCCCCTGACGGGCCCTTTTCCAGCTGAGATTCTTCAACAATATCTGGTTGGTTGTCAAGCCATCCTGTGATCTCTATTGACTCCTCAAAATCAAACCAGTTGACTGTCGTGTCCCTCGGATCTTGTTCGTTGAAAATCTGGAGGTCAGCAATGTCCCCTTCCAGAACTGCTAAGTCCTCTATCCTCTGATCAAGTCTGTCCCCCTGTAGTACACAAATTTCTGTCCCTACCGGCAATTCCACATTTGGCCTAATCTGCCCCGCTGACGCAATGTAGCCACTCAGGTTGTACATCTCCTCAGCAAAGCTCCCCAATTTCTCAGTCCTTGAATCCATTGTACCACTCTCCTCTGAAATCATCCCTATTCTGTCTTCGACAGCCACCACCATTGGTTCCGGTTGGGTTCGGGAGATGTCCAACATGCATAAGTCGGTGCTGTCAGGAAGGAACACCTCTGGCTTGGGTAGGTGAGATAGGGTGATATATATGCTGGGGTCGTATGACATGACCCCAGTCTAGATAAAGTTGATGCGTTTGGGAGGTGGAGCTTGGTTTTGGGTGGGAAAGGGTTGGTTGTGACATTGGGTTTCTCTGGAGGCACGATCACCCTGTTGTCGATGAGATCCTAAATCTCATGACGTAATCTATAGCATTGGTCGGTGTCATGACCGTGCTGTTGGTGAAACACACAGTACTTCGCCGGGTTATGGGAGGGGGAAGTTTTTCTGGCAATGGCCGCGGCTCCAGGGGCTTCAAGTGCCCTTTTCTGATTAAAACCCCCAAAGCGTTGGACAGGGGCATATATAGTGGGTTGAAGGCTCTTTGGCTCTTGGGTGCGTATTTGGCTGCTTGCGAGCTACTACCGGACGCGCCGAAGAATGGTGTAGCCGCAAGGGTTCTTGGGGGAGTGGTGGTAACCATGCTTACTTCTGAAGCTCTGGCAGTTGTGGTGTTGCTTGTGCCTGTATTGTTGTTGCGGTTGAAGGTCTTTCTAGGTTGTTCTCTGTCTTGGTCAATCAAGCCCTGCCTCAAGGCATCCTCGATCTGTACTCCCATCTCATGCAGATCTGAAAAGGTAGGAAAGGGGAGCACGATCATTTTCTGCATTAGTTTGGGTTGGAGGTTGCGCACAACCATCCGTATTTGATCCTTATCCGTCGGCCTTATGGTCATCATTGAGGCCTTGGCCCTCCAGCGGGTTACGAATTTAGATAAACTCTCCTTAGGCTCTTGCCTTGTTGTCTCGAGATCACGGGTTGTAATCTCGATTTGCGTATTATAGGAGTACTGTGCAATGAAAGCCTCGGCCATCTCATCCTAGTTCCGCTTGACATCGTCTTCCAATTTTGCGTACCAGATGACCGCCACACCCGACAGGGTCCGGCCAAACAATGAAAGCTTCTGTAGTCTGGTGAGGCCCATCGGCCTTAGTATGTCTGAAAACAAACATAGATGCACCATGGGATCCCTGGACCCGTCAAAGCAGTCGATTTGTGGCATCCTGAACCGACCTGGCAGCATCACAGTCGCGTCGGTATACCCGCCCTCAATGTCTGGGATGGATTTTACCCCTTGGGACTTCTTGAACAACTTTTCAAGCTTGTTCAACTTCAATGCTATAGGGTCCACCTCGAACTCAAAGAGAGAGTTCGGTTGATTGATAGGTGTAGGTGCCTTGGATAGTTGAGGTAGAATCGAGGGCGGAGCCGGCCCCGTTGGGAGGTCAGTATCCTCCTGGGCATTCTGGACGTTCACCGTCTCCTCAGGTATTGGGACTCTTGGTGGGGGAGGAGCCTGGTGTGAAGCAGATGCTCCGGTTTTCTATTGTAACTGGGTAATTAGCTCTACCTGTTGGGCCATGACAACGGCCTGCTGTTTAACAAATTCTGCTTGACGAATAGCGTCCTCCTACATGGCTTTCATGCTCTCCTGGAGCTGACAGACCATTTCTTCCATCCCTGACATACTGCCCTAATCTATCTGAACTACCGGTATGTCTATCTCTGTAGTAAACTCGGAAACCTCAACCTGATTGTTCGAAGACCACTGATCTGGCAACCTCTGCTCGGATACACTACGTCTTCTCAACCTCCGTCTGATAACCGAGGGTAAGGAATAAAACACTGGTTGTCCGTTGACCAGATCCTCAGATCGATTGAGTCGGCGACCTCTAATCCAGAGTGCTTGGAGAATATCTGCTTGGTCTGAAGCAATTGTGCTAAACTACCCCCCAACAAAAAGATAAATAAAGCAATAATAAGGAAATAAACAACCAGACAAACGGACAGCATAACAGCGTAAATAAACACACAACATACAGTTGGGCATCACAACACACAGTTGATAAGCTGAATAGACTATTCTCAAATACTGATCATTGTTCCCCAAATCACTGCCCCCAAAATTGAATCTGAAACCCGCAGATAATTGATTCCCAAAATACTGAACTGGTGCCCGCAGGCCTGACACCCAAACTTGTAAATTGATACGTGCGTTCCTGTAGAGACACACTCTAAAAGCACATAGCAAACAAGTGAGAGCCAAAACACCCCTATGTTGGGATAGGGTTTTCCTGTCCTAGTTTCGTCAAGAACTAGGGATTCACTACGCATGCAGCGGTTTCAAGCAACCTATGATCGGGTAAGAATCCTGTCCTAGTTTGGAATGGTCACTATGGATTCTGAATATGCACTAGGTCGAATGGTAAAACAAGGGTGCCCCGGTAAGCCGGGGTTTGTGTTCCCATTGTGGCAAAGCCCGTAACCGGTCAGCCTTATGGCACGCTTCTCGAAGCGAGCCTCTGGCAAACCGTTCAGGAATAGCAGACGGAAAACACTGTGACTTAGGCGCACCAATGCAAATACAATGCGAAGAAAAACATAAGTGTAGTCAAAACAAGATATCATGAGTTCGAGTCAAGTTCTCTAACTCCCCAGCAGAGTCGCCAGAAACTATAGATGTCCCCGAACGTCCCGGGAGGGAATCCGGTCTCATTCATTTGGGCTCACTACAGTTCAGGACTCAATGTCACGGTTCTTAATCTAATCTCACAGTGTGCAATGCAAGACTGATAAATCACCAAAGAGTCCAAATCCGGCAAATCGTTTTGGAAAACAGATTTTTAAGAAAGAAGTGCCAAACATGGACTACTTTTCCAGATACAGAGTCGCCACCTAAATATTTTGTTTTGGGGGAATTTAGGAAACCCTGACTCGTTGCCTAAGGCCACGTGTCCGTAATCACCAAAGTTGCCTCGGCTCGAGAATTTGGGTACGATTGGAGAAGGTCAGCTATGAGCACTCCTGCTCGCCCGATCCGAAGATCGGCCTGTACTAAGCATGATATCTAGTTTTGAAAACATTATGTGTTCTTATTCCAGTTAATTAGCTAGAATTACTATGTGATGCGCACAGCAAAACAAGTATAGACTAGGTCGCCTAATTTGGAACAAAGCATTGCATATCCGTTTGTTTGGGTTTGAAGTTTGCTACTCGCAAGTAAGCTAAAATACGGATTTCAATGAATTATCTCAATTCAAGTAACCCAACCTTCACCCACGGGCATTCAGCCAGTTATATCACGTAAGCAGATAGCCTCATGGTAAGCATGCTATCATGGCAAAAATCACACTCATGTAAGGTGCTAAAGCATAAAAACTTACCTAGTACTTTGAGCCAAAACAAGAAACTAGTTAGGAATCATGCATGATCCTAGTTCATGTTAAGATGGCTAATGCAACACATGCAAAATGTAACTAAAATAGGCTCGGCTATTCTAAGAATGACATGTGAAATGTGGCAACTCGATACACGTATTCAAGTTGGAATTGAAACACAATGAAGTTATCATGATGCGCCGAGCCCGGTGCATGCAAAACAGATGAATGATGCAAACATGCGAGCATAAGTATGCTAATTGAAACATGTCCTAAGCTAACCATCAAAAGCTAGTAAATGAAAGGGAGAAAGATGTGGGGTTGGAAGACATACATCACACGCACACACACTTATTACAACATTGTCCTCTCGTAGAGGGTCCGAATAAATAATACAAAACAAATAAATAATTAACTACTCTAGCTAATTAAATATTACAAAACCCTAAATTAGTTAACAAATTAGTTACAAAGGGAGGCCGCTGTAGCCCCGCCTCAGAATGTTTGGATGATGCATGCTCGATTTGTCTTGCTCGGAAACCCGTTGCCATGCCTCTGTTGCCTCTGTTTGCACTGTTCTGCACCTCTGATAATTGTGAAAATTCTTGGGATACTTCTGAATTACTCCCTGATCATTATGGGATATCACCGACCAAGATATCTGACCACCGGCTATGGAAATATGGTAACCGATCAGAAGTTGGTCCATCGGCTGGACTCCTGTGGTCGGCTGGCACTGAAAATTTTCGACCGGACATTTCTTCCTGCAGAATGCTGGTTTTGCTGCAACAGAGGACAGACAGTGCATGGCAAGGTATTTTCAAGGCAATGTGTGCATAGCCACTCTCCCTATCATGCAATGAACTCAAGGGAGCATGGCTCTCGGTCCTTGGGACACCAATCATGCATTTCGATGCATGATGGCCAAAGGTGCCAAGTTTGCAAATCAATGTAAAATGAATGCAACAAAAACAAATGAATTCTACACACTATTATGTTGGGATCAAGAGTATCGGCGACCGAGGATTGAGGCGTATTTCGTCACTTTAAGTACGAACACACCTCATACCTCATGTTTGGTTTGACACCCCAAACCAAACACAATGCAATGCATGTATGCAATATGGCTCAAATATACAAAATGGTTCAAGTATGCAATATGGGGCTAAGTTAGCAAAGCATGCCAAATGCGATGCAACCTAAACATGCAAATGTAAAATGTGCTAAGCATGCAAGATACAATGCAATGTCACCTAACATGCAAGCTAAGCTAATGCAACGAGAACATGCAAACATGATATAATGCAAGCATGCAAATGATGTAACAAGATGCAACATGCCAAACATGCAACTATGTACAAGGGTGGGCTTAAACCGAAATGGGAGGCCTCAGCCATGCCCCAAGACAGTGGCCAAAATACCAAAATTAAGGCACCAAAATGCTAGATAAACATGCACACATGTTGGTCCATCAATTTAAGCCACGATGCACAACCTTCAAACATGAGCGAGATGTGATAAATATGAGGATATGGCATTGCAAATAAACTCTGAAATCACATGAAGAATGACGCCAAATCGACTACACAATGCAAACATGGCATGTTAATGGAGTTAAAGCTCAAAGCTAGCTACGGGACTTAAACCATGACTATGTCAACCAAGTTCCAAATGGTCAAG